AGGGTGTTTGATGAGGCCCTCGCCACTTTGGTTTCTTTTCTTGCATTGCGGCGAGTAACCATCATTTCTTTTTAGTTTTTGCTGGGTAAAGTCGGAGCTGCTTTGTTGTTGGGTTGCAATGAAGCTTGGCAACGATGACTCACTACAATCTCTATCTTGGGTTGTTAGTGCTAGCCGTGTGTAGGAAGCGGCTCCTTGGTAGCTTGTGCTGCTGTCCTTTGTGAGTAGTCCAACCTGTTTTGTTTTTTTTTTTGGCGTTGAGGCTTCCTTAAGGTGAAGTTGGAACTGTCGTGTCGCTAGTGACAAGCTCGGTAACAATAACACATGTGAGTTGCCGTGTCGCTTCTATGGCATGCCTGGTGCCGATGTCTCACGATGGGCTCCGTCGTGGTAGCTTAGGTTAGGTTAGTTGGTGGGTTGTTGTAGTTGTGGTTTTCACTCAGTTTCCCCTAATTAATTGAGCGTAATGTAAGGTTTGGCACCGTTTTACCCTTAAAATGGGGCACCTTCTTTATATAAAACGTTGGCAACGATCGACCGTTCGAAAAAAAAACTATTATATGAATGAACTATTAAATTAGCTATAGATGATTTGGAGATAGTAGTCAGCTATACTCCTAAACTTGCTCTAAGTGCCAACTCCTCACTTTTCTTTATATCTTTTTTCCACATAAGCTTAGAGCAGGTACAATATCGACGACGCCAAGTCCACGTAGATTGCAATGCTAATATGGAGAAAAGAGCTGAAGAGAGAGAACGTGAGTGGGCGCGAGCGGGAGATAATTTTATCGTTGGGTTGTAGCACGCTTCTTTAGACAAAAGTGTTGGGCGTGAGAGAGATGCTGCTTTGCAGCAGTTGCAGCATGGGATCAATGCTGCAATTTTGAAGAGAGAATCCACTCAGTACCACTGAGTTTTTTCCACTTCTACAATCTACCACTGACTTTATCAAGTTCAATAATATGTCATCGTGTTTTCTTGAACCTCTGCTACGTGCCATCGCCGTCCACGAGCCGTTAGTTGGGCATCCGTTAGCGCTATAAAAAGACCTATTTACCCCTAACTGACATTTTATTTCCAGGGAGATATGTATGTAATCTATCGACATATGAATGCATATACTGTCAAACTGATTGAACTATATAAATGTAGTAGAAATAAATGTACGTAATGCAAAAAAAAAAACAGCATACGTTGTCCTCGTCTCCTCTCTCTCTTGGCTGTTCTTATCAGCATACGTTGTCCTCAATCCTCATCGTCTCCGCGCGCTGCCTCCAAAGCCCAAATCGATCCACAGCTCGATCCCGTGGTCGTCGACGCAGCAAACAGCTGCGCCTCTGCCACCGCCGCCACCACCACCAGCAGCAGCAGCAAAGCAGAAGTAGCAGGACGAGGAGGAGCTCGCCGCGGTCGTCAGCGGCGGTGGCGCTCTGGCGCCGGAGACGTACGTGCAGTACTACTACGCGGCGCGCACCGACCACAACGCCTCCGCCATGGTCTCCGCGCTAGCCCTTGTCATCCGTGCTGCCACCGACCTGCAGCTCACCCACCACCACCCATCATCTTCATCCGCCGCCGCCCACGCCCACCCGCGTCGATGGGGAGCCCGACGCCCGGCCACACGTCGATGGCGAGCCTGGCGCCTGGCCGCGCGTCGATGGGCATCCGAGCGGCCGGCGGCGCGTCGGGTAGTCCCGGCGTTGCATCGATGGGGAGTCGGCGCCGCCTCACTGGAACTTTGGGAGACAGGGATAGATCAATTTGTCGGGGTAGACGGTGTGCTAATGTTTTCAATCAACAAGTCAAAGGTTATTTTAGTCACTAAAAGAAAATTAAATACACAAAAGGATGCCAACTAACGGCTCTTTGACGGTGATGGCATGAAGCAGAGGTTCAAGAAAACACGATGGTATATTGTTCAACTTAACAAAATCAGTAGTAGATTATAGAAGTGGGGAAAACTCAAAGGTACTAAGTGAATTCTCTCATTTTTTTTTAATAATGATGTGAAGTGTGTAAGGACCAACAATATAACTAACTATTGTATGTATAGGTTGCAAAGTGAGCTATAGATAAGTTAGGTATAATTGTAGCCAACTGACTACTTTACTATTGACCCTGCTCTTATAGTTGACTTATAAGCCACTACTCTAAGCAGGTTGCCTTGTGCTCTTCAGCTGATCAAAAGGAAATGGCAAGGAGGGGATGAATTCTGTAAATTGTGTGGCAAGATTGAGTCTACTGATCATGCCCTTTTTAAGTGCCCTCTGGCTGTGTTTACTTGGTGTGTGGTGAGAGACGCTTTGGGACTAACTAATAGTCCTACAAACATAAGGGATTGCTTGAGGCTAAAACCAGGGGAAAATGTTCAGGGTGTGTGGGTGATGTTCTTTGCTAGTGTGTGCTGGGCTATCTGGCTAGTTAGGAATGATTGGGTGTTCTCAAATATTTTGGTAAAATCTCCCTTACAAGTTGCTTACAAAGCTATGTCTTTTGTTCAGCGGTGGTGTATCATGCTAAAGGAAGGAGATCAAGCTGCTATGAAAGGATGGGGTGATCTACTGATGGCTAAACTTCAACGGCTGAAGCCGTGCTGCCTCCCTGCTTCAGTGTGATGCTGTTGTTTTTCAGTTTGTGTAGGCTTTTGTTTCGGGTGGGATAATATCTTGGGGAAAGGTTTCGCGTTTAGGAGGGTCAATGCCGAAAAGTCTGTGAGGTGTTTGTAAGATTTGCAGCAGTGGTCCAGAGAGAACCAGTCTTTGTACTGGCGTCTGTTCTTTTGTTTTGCTTTTGCTGTTTACTTTCAGCCTGTGTAAGACTCTGTTCGCTGTTTTGGGCTTTCTTTCAAAGCCGGGTCAATGAAAAATTTGATCTGATTTTTTAAAAAATAATAAATCACTACTCTAAGCCCTTGTTTAGTTCTAAACTTTTTTCTTCAAACTTTCAACTTTTCCATCACATCAAAACTTTTCTACACACACAAACTTTCAACTTTTTCATCACATCGTTCCAATTTCAACCAAACTTATAATTTTGGCGTGAACTAAACACACCCTAAGAGCAAGTTTAATAGTATAGTCCAACTAATAGCTCCAAATCATCTATAGCCAATTGATACAATAGTTACCTATAAATATATACTACACTATTAGTATTTGCTCACACCTGTCATACATACATTGTATCTTAAAGCCAGGGTACAAATCTGTAGCCCATTGCTCATCTCTCTCTTTTTTTATCTTCTCGATATATGTTTATAGCTGGCTTATAGTCCACATTTGTACCTGCTCTAAGCCCCTTATCACTAGCCCCAAGGTACCATGTAGATCCATAAGATAATGTGCAAGAGAGAAAAGAAAAGGAAAAAGAATGAGCAACTTCTCTCGTGCAAAGGTCAATCTCTATCCAATCTTTAAGGAATGAGAGAGAGAAGTGGATTGGTACAGACGACGTGTTTAGTTCCAAAATAATTCTTCAAACTTTTAATTTTTTTATCATATCAAAACTTTCCTACACACACAAACTTTTAGCTTTTCCATCACATCGTTTAAATTTTAACCAAACTTCCAATTTTGGTGTGAACTAAACACAGCCAGAGTGTATTGGGAGTAGTGTAGATAGATGCATGGCCCTATCATTTCGCTTATTTAGGGAATAAGCAAAACGGTATATTTATAAACGAAAAATAATTTGTGAATAGAACGTTTATATATGTGTTCTTAGTGATCTAAAAGCAAAGGCTGAAAAATAAACTTCGATGAGAAAACCCTAAAATCAACTCCAAATTTAAGATTGAAAATTCAAACTTTGGCTCATAAACATAAACATAAGTATAAACGAAAAGATGAAGTCGGCAACCTGTTGTATGTGTTAGTTCTAAATTAATAATAATTTAAATAAAATTAGATGTTATCGCTATCCCTATTATAAAACTTGCTCGTATGAAACTTGCGCGGGCAATAACCTTAAAGACGAAACAAGCGAGGAAATCATCTTCCCTTCACAAGGATTCCCATGGCGCGGCGTTGTGGTCTAGCTGCCGTGCCGCTCGCCTGACAAAGTCGGCCACGCAAGCTGAAACACGGACCGAGGAACAACGGCCAATCTGGACGCAACGCAGGCACGGATCGAGGCGATAGAGAGACGCGACCTTTGCCAGGTTGGTTGATGCTTCGAATCGAATCGGATCGCGCGCGTGTCCGTCTTGTCTCTCCGTGCAGCTACGACTCTCTGCGACGCTACGCTGCCCCAAGCAGCGGAAACAATTACCGATGCGGCTACTACTCTGCCGGCCATGGCCGAGCCAAAGCCAAAGCCCAGTGTCAGCTCCAGGTCTCCCCGTCTCCCGGCACGACGTGACGAGCGACATACCAGATGCCTCTCCCTTCTCTCTCTCTCGACAAATCTCGTTCCCGGCTTCGTTTCCTGAAGGTCATTGGTAAAAAATGAACATTTCTAAAATTTAGTAGTAATACTAAAAATGATAGGCTATCGTCGAAATTTTATTTACATCACCAATATTTAATAACTAGTTAAAGGCTTGTTTAGTTTGAAACTAATTTTTACTCTACCAAAATCTTGATAGTGCCAAAACCGTGGCAAGCTTTGACACTACCAAATTAAGTAGTGTTGAATTTGAACTATTGTGACAAGACCAAACATGCATTTGCTATTATTGAAGTTACCAAGAATTTGGTAGGGCAATAAGTTAATATCAAACCAAACAAGCTCTCAATGTAACTACATAATTATTAATTTTACCAAATTAATGGTATGGTTTAAAATGACATCAATCTGAACAGGCCCGAAGTTTGGGTGGGCCGGGCTCATTCATCATCAGCCCATCACCCTGGTCGCGGGACGATGGATGCCGCGGTTGCGGGCGAGAATATTCCCGGCTGCTGCAGCCCGCGGGGGACTCGCCAACGGAAGATCCGGTGGGAATCAGCATCGTCTCGCCTCCCGTTCTCTTGGCGTCTCGCGCACTGCCGAGAGAATTCAACCCAGCACCGCGACACGGGTCTCTCCATCCCATTCCACATTTTCCTTCCCCCTTCGCGCAAACACGCGCACTATTTATTTCCTCCCGCCGGCTAGCCGCGGCTGCTGCACCGCATCGGCCGGAGAGGAGGAAGAAGCTAGCCAAAGCAAAGCAGGAGGGGGCCAACCCTGATCTTGCTCGTTCTGCAAGCTGTGAAACTGTGCTCGCCACACGGGTACGTTGATTGATGGGGGTCAAGCCGTCTCCCGGAGTTCTGGATGGGCTCTACGGGGTGCAGCTTGGCCGTCGGCCGTCGCCGGGCGACGGCGGCGGCGGCGAGGAGGAGGAGGAGGCTGTCAGGACGACCGTCGTGGAGTACTCGGCAATCTCTGATTCTGAAGCCAAGTTCGGGGACGGCACAACGCTGCAGAGATTGCCGATTAGGTAATTCCATTTCGGCTGTGTTTAGTTCATGAAAAAAGTTAGAAGTTTTGGGAAAGTTGAAAGTTCGGAAAAAAAAGTTAGAAGTTTATGTGTGTAGGAAAGTTTTAGATGTGATGTGATGGAAGGTTGAAAGTTAGGGGTAGTTGGAGATGCACTAAACATGGCCTTCGTCAAAAAATAACTGGCATAAGAAGTGAACATGCCGTCAGTAGAAAAGCTCTCTAAAAATTTATACCCTTTGGTTTGCTGAGTCTGACGTTCATATACCGTTGTTGCAAACTGCAGGCGATTGTGGCAGCACAGGCCCTCGTTCTTGAAGCCCGTCCATTGTAGAATCTCATGCGGTAAAGCATCCAAGTTATAGCTGCACCAACATAGCTCTTCTCAGTATACAGTTTCTAACTGAATTTTCCTGCGAGCAGGTGACAAGCATGCTGGTGAAACTATAGCTAATGTAGTCACCTCGCTCCCCTTCATTATTCTCGGAATGCAAACGCCAAGGCGAGCTACTCTAGCTAATTTCTGGTTCTTTTTGGTTTAGATTCTATGCTTCCCGTCTAACGGGGCTGCTACCAGCTTTGCAGGACGAACTTAAACACGGCGCTCTATGCGAATTCGCTAGTCGGAGTAGGGATAGCTTCAAGCTTGTACCATTCCTCCAAGGGAGAAATCAGAAAACTCCTGCGGTGGGCAGACTATACTATGATAGCCACCACTACATTGGTAAGTCATATCGTCGGTATTACTTATTACTCCCACCGTTTCATATTATAAGTCATTTGACTTTTTTCCGCATCAAACTTTATTAAGTTTCACCGAGCTAATAGAAAATTTTAACAACATTTAAAATATGAAATTAGTTTCATTAAATATAGCATTGAATATAATTTGACAATATGTTTGTTATGTGTTGAAAATAGTACTATATTTTTCTATGAATTTAGTCAAACTTGAAAAAAAGTCAAACGACTTATAATATGAGACGGATGGAGTACTCTAGTACTCTCTGTTCACAAAAAAATGTTGTTTTGAACATACAATGTTAACCACTATATTCTATAACAATATATCTATTACAACAAACAATTATCATAATATTATGAAAGTGCTTTCCGTAATGAATCTCTACATACATTTTTTATGATCCAATCTAAACATATATAAAGAGATATGCATGTTTAAAGTTTCAAATGTTTGACTTAAGGCATGCCAAAACAATATTACCTCTATCCCAAATATAAGGCATTTTGCCCATGCATGTAGTTGTACGAGCAAAATCCCTTATATTATGAGACGGATGTAGTAAGTTTTCGTGACCTGATGGATAATTGTTGTTACATTATCTGACTGATGCAAATCATGCCATTGTGACAAGCCTGTGTTTTGTGCAGTGTTTATCAAGAGCACTTCGGAATGAGAACCCGCGATTACTAATGGCAGCATCAGCATTGCTCCTACCATTTCAGCCTTTGATGGTTTCAGTTGTTCACACTGGAATGATGGAGGCAAGTAATATTAATGGCATGGCATATTGGCTAAATAAAACCAATCATCATTTCAACGATCACTAGGCATATTTGCTGCATAAATCTAGACTTCTCTAAAGATCTAGCATTTTCTATGTGCCAGGTTTCCTTTGCAAAAAGAGCATCAATTGAACCAGAGCTCAGAATGGCACATAACCTGCACAAGATGTCGTCTCTGTTAGGAGGCGCGCTGTTCATCGCTGATGATTGCTTCCCAGAGACTCCCTATATCCATGCTGCATGGCATCTCGCCGCTGCGCTTGGCATCGGTACATGTAACAAGCTTCTTGAGTGATATGAGGAACTGCTAGTATCAAAAGTAGTTGACTTCAGTTACTCGGGAGGCCAGACAAAGGAATTTAGCAAACATCAATTTGTCGACATTAAGAACAATTTACAGCATAGGTTCAGACAGAAGAGAAGATTCAAGCATTTTTTAACTTGGAACAGAATAGTGATTTGCATCTCCTAGGAAGGATATAGACAAGAATGAGATGCATTAGATCAGCTTGTGTATGTATTCTGCTATTACTTTATTTTGGTATTCCATTATGACAATGTCCTGAGTTGTCATAAATAGTTTTGAGCACAAGATTAATAAGATGAAACAAGGGATTCAAAAAGAAAGCATCTCATTATCAGAAGTTCTGAGCGATAATTTACTGAAATATACATGTTCCTAGCAGTTTAGCTATAAGTTCAGTAAAAAGAGGATTCTCGGACAATTAAGGGTAAGTAAGAACATATAATATGCTAACCTGAAAAGAAGCAACACTACTGCATAATTTCATGGCTTCACCAGAAGATCAGGAATGCATGCTATACTTTTGCCCCAGCTCAACCTTTTTTTTTTTTCCCAAGGCATTCACGAGAACACCAAATAATTTTGTGCTTGCCATTTCTCTTCAAGCTCCCATGCTTACTCATAGATTCCTCCGAAGTCTTGTTAACGAAACTGCAGAATCAATTGGGCTCATGCCAGCATGCTATGTACCAACATGCTGGATTGGTTCGGATTCACCCTGCTTGTCCCTGCAGGTTTTCCAGCATTCAGGGCAGCTACTCTTTCTCTTACCTTCCCAGCCTGCTCCCATTGTCCAACACCAGCATACATGTTAGCCAGCAGGACAAGGTGCCCAGCTGCTCGCTCTGGCTGCAGCCTAATCAACCTTTCAATCACTTGTGCTGCGAGCTCAAGATTGCCTTCCCTCTTGCATCCGCTAAGTAGTGCGCCCAACACAGCATCATTAGGCTGCAAATGCATTGTCTCCACAAACTCAATTGCTTCACGCAATTGCTTCCCGTGGCAGAGCATGTCAACCATGCAGCCGTAGTGCTGTATCCCTGGAGTGATCCCGTAAAATCTTTCCATACTCTGAAAGTATTGTCGTCCATCATCAACCCTCCCTGCATTGCTGCATGCCAACAACACTGCAAGCAGAGTAGCACCATCAGGACGCTCCTGCATTCTGTGAAACAAGTCTAGTGCCTCCTCGGCGCGGCCATGGATCGCAAGCCCTGAGATCATAGTCGTCCATGAGACGGTACTCCTCCTTGGCATCACCAGGAATAAGCGGTGCGCATCCTCCACAGCCCCACACTTCACATACATATTGATGAGTGCATTGTCCAGCAAAACAGTCCGCCACTGTCGTCCTTCCTGCTCGACATGGGCATGCACCCACCGCCCGAGCCGCAGGTCTCCCTGCTCGGCACAGGCCGTAAGCAAAGCAACCATGGTCACAGCGTCAACCTTCGCATTTGCCTTCCTCATCCTCCAGAACAGCTCAACCGCCTCTGCTGCCTTCCCGGCATTCACGCAACCAGCAATCATCGTTGTCCACGCCACAGAGTCTCTCCCAGGCATCTCATTGAAGAACCACAATGCGGCGTCCATCTCACAGCACCGAACATACGCCGCAAGCATGCAATTCCATGCTGCCACGGTCCTGCCAGGCATTTCGTCGAACACCCTCCGGGCCTCCCCCAGTTGCCCAGCCGCCGCATAAAGATCAAGGAGGCTGGTCAGCACGTGCCCACTGGACAGCACTAGCCCGCACGCTAGCGCGCGGGCGTGGAGAGCGCGGCCGTGTGGGAGCGCCGCGGCGCCCGCGTCCGCGAGGGCAGCGAGGAGCGTGGAGAAGGAGAAGGCGTTGGGGCGGAACCCGTGGCGGGAAACGAGGCGCGAGAAGAGTGCCACCAGCCGGTCCGGCGGCGCGCGGGACGACGCGGCGGCGCGGAGAACGAGGTTGGCCAGGGTGGGCGTCGACGACGAGGTGGAGGAGGAGCACTCGGCCGCGGGGGCGGCGAGGAAGAGGGACTCTGCGCGGGGGAGGTCGGCGGCGGCGGCGGCGAGGGAGAGGAGCTTGGCGAGGAGGAAGCGCTTGCGTGGGAAGCCGTTGAGGACCACCTGCGCGTGGAGCTGGTCGAGCGCGCGGCGGGCGGCGGAGGCGTCGCCGTCGCCCGGGGGGATGCGGCGGCGGCGGTGCTGGGCGAGGAGGTAGAGGCGCTGCTGCAGCGCGCGGGAGTAGGGGACGTGAGGGGGCAGGTTGGGTGGGTGGCCGGGAGGAGGAGGAGGAGGAGGACGGCGGCGGCCATGGCCATCGCCGTCGCGCGGCATGGCTTGCGCGCTGCGCGGGAATGGGTGAATCCGATCGAACAAAGAGAAGCGCCCACAAATACCTTGATACAGTTTGGAGTTTGGACTCTGCCACAAATGTGTAACAAAGTGGCCAAAATGTGAAATGTGCCTCGTCAATTTGAACCGATTTAAGCGCAATTTATAGGCTTTTTTAATTAAAAAAAAGTTCGGTTGACGTGTTTGAAATGCAATAACACTACAAGTACTAGTGCAAATGTGCAATGATGTCCAATTTTTGTTTGTATGAAGGAAAATATTGATTTCAGGAATTGAAGTGATATGACTACTGGTAGAGTGGAAGTCATAATTTTGAATGTTGGCGATAATTCCAACTTTGTGGAGTACTCCGTAAACATCTACTACTATTGCACTGGTTACGGCACAAGGTGCATGTGCTAGAATATCATTTTTTTTCTCTTTTTCTTTCATTAATTTGCTATTGCACAGTGGCATTTTACAAAACCTTCTCTACCCTCAGAAAATGAATAAAAAGTCTCTAGGATTCCCAGAAGATAATTTCACCATTGTCGCCAACTAAACCAATATCCTTGAGTCTCCGTTCTTGGTAGTACTCTAGGCCATCCAGTTCCTCCTCCCTCTGCTTGAAAATGTCATCAATCTGCTGTAGCACTTTCTTCTCACCGGCCCTGACTTCAACGGCAATTTGAAGCCTTGGCTGAAGATTTTCACTTCCCAACAGTTCTTCGTCCTACATATATTTTGACATGTTTCGTAATACTAATTTGGAGATAATAACATAAAAAAGAAAATGAACAATGCTTATTCGGGTTATAAACATACCTCTTCTATGGTAGTGTGGTAAGCACCAAGGGCAGATTTGCAGGCATTTCGGATGACCTGACATATCGCTTCTTCATTATCTTGACTCACTGGCAGTTCAAGGTGGCCCCAAACAGCATTTCTGAAGAGTGCTTCCAAGAGAAATGCATCTGTTCCCCCAAGGCAGAGTAATCGCAGGTAAGGTAGCATTTGAGGAGGAAGAGATTCACCAAGGACAATATCAAAGTATGCAGTCTCCCCCATCCCATTTAGCTCTGCAATGTCAAGCTTGTCATCATAAAATGGATCAGATTCAGATATCTCCAAGGTCAGAGTATATGCATCCCTTGATGAATTTGATTCGGTGAAACCATAATCAAGCGCTAATTCTGCGTTGCTCTTGTCCAAATCATACTGAATATATATCTGTCAAAACATTATTTAGTATATAAATGTTGTCAGTGAACAAAAGTCACAGCTGCACAACTATATGATTTCCTTAAAATGAATAAATGGGAACTTGTACCTGTTCTCCAGATTTAACATTCACCGGTGTTCGCAAAGAAAACACAACATCCCTACCAAAAAGACCCTTTCCTTTGATCTCCCAACTGGACTCTTTTGAGGTTATATCATCGCTGTGATTTACCTGGTTTGGCAAAGCACCAAAATGATTAGAACATAATGGTTTCCCAATATTTTGGTTGGATTTGTATTATATATCGAGGGAAAAGTATTGAAAGAGCATATTATAGTGTATAATAAAAATATTCTGAACGTTTTGGCATGACAAATTACAGGCATGGTTTCCAGTGGTATCTATTTTGCAAAGATAAGTCGGTTCACAGCATGTTGGAAAAGCAAATAGAAAATGCAGGCATGATTGCATTTCAAGATCTTACAAGATCAGCAAATGGTATGAGAGCAAGCTTATCTCCACGGAGCTCCGCAAACACCCGTGATCTGAGTATGCCGAATGCCCATAGGAAATCATTGAATGTTACAGTACCAGGAAAGAGCTCCCTGTTCTCGCTTATGATCTCAGCTTCAACACTCTCAAATTCACTCTGCACATACTCCTTCACACCCATTGTTGTGCTCAGTAACTGTGTTCCTGCAAGGAACAAAAGCATACAGATTTCAACAAAGATACTAGCAACCAGTATGAACAAAACGAGCTCGCTTTGTAATTTAAATTCATGGATTTTGAACTTTTTGCAATGGACGCCCACCTTGTATCTCCAAGAGCTCTTCTTCTGACCTGCACTGGAGGCACGAAGCAAACCACTCAAAAGCATCAGCACGGAGAGGAATGTGAGGTTAATCGTGATGAACCACCCAAAACAAAAAGGAGCATTTCGTCGAACACATGAAGAGCGATGAGCGATCAGCATCACCTCAACTCACCAGAAGATGGTGGAGTCGGTCTGGCGCGGGAGGATGGCGAGGTAGGGCGCCCACGGCGAGCCGGCGCCGCGGGCGGCCTCGCGGAGGAGAAGCAGCGCGACGGCGACCCAGGGCCTGAGCCCCCCGCGGCCGACGGCGCCGCCGAGGTCGGAGGCCGCGACGGCGTCGGCGTCCAGCCAGAGCTTCTTGGGCACCTCGGCGAGCACCTCCCCGCGGGGCAGGTCCCGCGCCGCGACGAGGCCGAGGCCACCCTCGGGGACGGCGGCGGGCGCCGCCGCGCCGGCCCCCGCGTCCGCGCCGTGGGACGACACCCAGCGCCTGAACTCCTGCAGCGCGGCGTCCGTGGGCGGCGGCGCGGCCGCGGTCGACGACGACGTCCCGGCCGCTGCGCCGGACGCGGCCGCGCGGCGGGGGAGCGGGCGCCGGAGGCGGAGGCGGGGAGGCTGCGGGTGGACGGAGAGGAGGCGAGGAGGGAGGAGGTGGTGGTGGTGGATGGCAGCAGCCATGGCGCGCAGCCAGAAGGCGGACGAGAGCGGGGTTGCGGATTAGAGGAGACGACGACCGTTGGTTCCGCGCGCTCTTGGGGGACTATGGATATGAACAGTCGCTCACAGCTGCTCCGTCAAGACCGTCAAGGCCCTTTTATTAGTTTTAGGCTTAGCTTATTTGTTTAGAATTTTAAGTTACTAGTTTATTGGTTTGTATATGATTTATAAACCGATGAATTTAATGTTTTAAGGTTAGTGATGAAGTTATACATCTATCTCACATAAGAAAAAAAACTTCTCCAACCAAGTTTTTGGGTTAACAGTGTTAGAGTGGCTTATGATTTTAAAAAGACATTACTTGTTTGTTTAGTCTTAAACTTTTCGGTTTATAAATTGGCTTATAAGCCTAAATAAAGAGGGTCTAAATTCTGCTTATCGGTGTCGTTAGCTCAAAGCAAGCTACGTACCAGATTTCATTGAATAAAACAGAAGTAAAAAGTTTGTATAGTCGTGAAAGAAAATATCCAAAAAAGTAAAACTGAGGATGAGCTCCGACAGACGTTTCACTCCAACTGAGTTTCACCTTCCTCCTTGATTTTCACCACCCACGCCATTTCCGTTGTGGAGAAGTTTACACAGTAGTATTATGGTTCAATTCAGGCTGAGATCAAGTACTTCCTCCGATTCATATCATAATACTTTCTAGCATTATCCACATTCATATAGATGTTAATGAATCAAGATATATATGTGTATAGATTCATTAACATCTATATGAATATGGACAAATGCTAGAAAGTCTTGATTCATTAACATATATATGAATATAGACAATGCTAGAAAGTCTTATAATATGAAACGGAGAGTAGAACTTATGCTTTCTAAACACTGAGTTGACTGAATATAAGTGTCATCGTCTAAAAGCTCTTGACATTCGGGAGATTCCCAGGACAGCAAGCCAGCAACAGGAAACCACATCTACAAATGCTATGTTACTCGGGATAAATTGCTTATATGGCGCACAAGGTTTACGCATTTTCTAATTTTCAGGCAAGACCCGCCTTGTCGTAAGAGGAGGAACCATCCAATTAGAGACATAACAATAGCTAACAAGATGCCAATTAGATAAGAGACACAGACAAATGCTAAATCTCAGCATATCCCAAATAGATGTCATGCTTGACACCACAGGTTACTTACAGAAAGCACAGTTTTTCAAGACTCTTTCAGAGAGCATTAGAAAGGCTAAACATAGAATATGGATGCCCGTCATTCAGTGCTTATTAAGTTGACAGAGACACGAGGCATCTGCATCTTGTATAGACTGAGGTGCTTCTGTTCCAACCTGAAGCAGACTGATCAGTTCTTCCTTCCTTCACAGAGGATGAAGTGGTACCCATGCCTGAATGTAAACAAACAATGATCATGTTAACTGGTTAATGATGAGGCAGGCGATTAATAATCTAAAGGTGATAACAGTGCAGGCTAAATAATTTAGAAGTCCTTTTATTTTTGTCATAGACCACTTGTTGAAGAAATTCATAGAACCTACTTGCTAGGCCAAAAGGAACACTACGGTATCGCACAGATCAGCACTCATGTCATAGGCGCTACTTGCATTGTTAATAGACCGAAGATTGGAGGAAAAAGGGTAGTAATACAATTATACACATACGTTGACTTAAATGGTGCGCTAGTAGCTCCCACAGGTGTGCTAAATGCAACATCCTGAAAAGGGCCAGCCATTTTTCCACGCGGGAACCATCCAAGATCTCCACCTTTCTTTCCAGATGGACATTCAGAGTATTCTTGGGCTATCTGCAGTATCAAAATAGTAATATCAGTCGGATATATACATAGTGTCTAGTGGGTTATGAAAGCAGCCTGAGCCTACAGACAGCAAGCAACATGTAAGTGGATAGCCCTGTAAGTCAAATAAATGATTTGTTTGAAATTGAAATCAAGTAGAAATATTGTCCTTATTTTCCTTCTGATGTCACACACAAAGCCTCAAAAGTAAGGTAAAATAGAAGTCTCAACTCTCAAGTAGTGATTACACAATCATACAGAGAGTGAGTCAATTCCCATAGAAGGCAGGCCTACAATCAAAACTATATGTTGTTCAACAACTGACTATTGTACGCTTATTCCACATAGGTAATTCCCATAGAAGGCAGGCCTACAATCAAATTTATATGTTGTTCAACAACTGACTATTGTACGCTTATTCCACATAGGTAATCCATCTTTTAAGTGTGTACTGTTTAACCACAATATTCTAATAGTATTATTTGTAATAATGAATAATGAGATCTGGGATCTCATTTTTCAAAAAACAGATTGATCCTGGCCAAGCAAAATATCCTAAGATTTCCTACCACAGTCCTTTGGCTAGTTATTATTCAACCAATTGTCCTAAGCAATAGTACTTTTTTTCCAGCCCGATACAATCATACAACCAAACATACCAAGTTCCACTTCAAGTATCAATATGCAATACTATCACATCAAAGCCAAAAAATCATTGAATGTTAGATACACTTCTCATAAATACCATCTGTGATTCATAGGAGATAACTGGAACTGCAGCATTCAGCTGTGCAAATCCAACAGATATGCATGATTGGTGGAATAGATTAGCAATTGAACCATCGAATCATCAATACTAACATACATAATAAAGTTGTACCATACGAATGTACCAAACTCCTGAAAACTGTAATTCCTTACTCTCTCTTTGGGCCAACCACATTAGTTTTCAAGCTGAGCTGCATGTACATCTGCCGCTTACCTTTGCAAACTCGGCAGGAGGGACCTTGTCCCCGTTGTCCAACCAGCCATCCTGCAACTTCTTGTAAGCTTCATTGATCTTCCCTTGCTTCTCGCACAGTACGTGCCTAGCTGAAAAACCAGTAACAACACAGCAGTCAAGTACCCAAAAAAAAAAAAACAACATGAAATTTACCACGAACAGAATAATCCTAACCAAAAGAGCTTTAAAGCTAACAATAAATCAGCACCGAAAACAAGGTAGGTTCAGGCCCACATCTATTTCAGTACCAAAGACTAAATCCATCCACTTACGATTAGGGACACCCGGTCCCCCCTCCCGCGCACCAAGATCCCAATCCAATATCGCGCCAATCCAAACCGATCTTACCAATCACGATCGAGTCCGAGAACAAATTGCTCGTAATCCGACCGAGAGAACTGGAGATACCTTTGACGTAGGTGCAGGTGCCGAGGCCGTCGGCGGACTTGCCGCCCTTGCCCTTGCCTCCCTTGCCGCCGCCGCCGGCGTCATCGCCGCCGGACGAGCCGGCAGCCTGCTTGCCCTTCCCCTTGTCCTTCGGCTTGGAGTCCTTCCCCATCTGCTCTCCGCTCGAGCAGCAAAAACCCTAGTCTACTGCTCGGATAGAATCGACGAGATCGAGATGAGGCGACGAGGCGATGACGACGAGACGACCAAGATTTTTTTTTTTTTTTTGAGATGCCCAGTTTTCTTTTTCTTTTAGAAGAAGGCCTTGTGTTTGTGGGCCTGGCATAATGGGCCAGATTTTCATGATAAGTGCAACTTGGGCCGAATTTTGGGAGGAACTGAATTTTCACAAGTTCAAAATTTAAGGTACTCCTATGTTTTGATGCTATTGAGACTTTGGAAGGAGCATTTAGAAATAGAATAGAGCAAAATCATCTACAAAACTGAATAAAATTATCACTTTGATATTAATTGCATTTTAAAAGTAAATGCATGAAATAACTGCAAAATTTATAACAAATTTTGAAATGCAATCCAACTCAGCGTAGATTGCAAGGAATATTAAATTAGGCTCGCATTGAACTATTGCCCAGTCCAAGTTCAAGGAAAAACTTCTGTGGAGGGTCAAATTCTATCATGACAAGCAAACGAACTCTGATTCATTCAAAACTAACTATCTTTTCTTCAAGTCTAAGAAGTGTGAAAAAAAAAGTCTTAATCTAAAACTCATCCAATGTAGCTAAGAATAATCTTTACTTCAAACCTCTCCCCCTTTTATTTGCAAGGTACCTTCCTCCGTTCATAAATATAAGCACCTATAGATTCTTTAGCAGAGATTAAGATCAATGAGAAAAAACTTTGACGCCTCTTATTTAAAAGGGGTGTTTTGAGTGAGTTATGATTGGTATGATAAATAGTACTCCTCAAATGCTTATATCTATAGATAAATTTCAAATCCTTCGAATGTTTATAATTGTGGATAGAGGAAGTAGTGGAATACCTTGAAACCTCTCCCTTGAATCCTTCATTTGGTGGAAAGAAACAGTTGGAAACTAGGACTCCGATCCTATCGTTTGTCTTTCAGCTTGCAAGTCCCAGCTAAAATTTAAGTTTTAAACTTAATTTTTGAGCTGATATTTAGATTTGTTTTCATCGATCGTTGTTTATTTCCTATCTTTGACATGCCGGCACGATGCCTTGTGTGCTTCATCAGCAGATCAGCCTGCATGAGAGAATTCCTATATTAATAGCAGACCTGTCTACGTCTGAAGAATGCCGGCTCGGACTCTAAATAATCAGCCAGATAATGAGAGAATTCTATTAATTCTTCTCTCTCCATTCAAGTGCTGTGTGAGAGAAGCTAGAAGAATGTATACTACAATATCTGTGATGAGACTGTGACTGACGCAAGCCGCGATCTAGAAGGAGATCACGCTCCCGTCTGTAATTAATCTGAAGTTCTTCAGAAACGGGAGGGACACTGAACCTGGCCTGCAGTTTAATTTCTTCAGTTTGATTCAGAGCTTGTGAGCTTCGAGAAAGCCTGCAGCCGTTTAACTACTGTTGCGGCGGTCAGGTGATCGCCGCCCTGGCCCAGTCGCGAGCCGCCACCGCGCCATTAAGGCTTTGACTCAGATCTTAACTGGGAGATTATATTAGCCCCCATCATTAGGCTCGATCAGTTACGCTCTTGGCCATCGCTGGCAGAGTTATTTAGTAGTTTGGAATAATGACATATAAATGCATATGAGTATATGAACATATACCGTGGTTGCAGAAGCAAGATGCCAAGATATCATGGTAGGTAAACAGTGTGTTAGGTCATATGAGCGTAATTGCTGTTTCGTGCAAGCCAACTTCAGGTTAAGGGTCAGTCTTTGAATGAAAGGATTTATGTAGTAATTTCCTAAGATTCAAATCAAATCCTATATATGAAAAAATGTTCTATTTGCCCCTTTGATAAAAAAAAATAGAGTTTTACAAATTCTATGAAACATTCTGTTTCATCACATGTACGTAGATTTTAAGAAAACTTAGCAAAAACTCCTCTCTCTTGAAAAATTTCATTTGATTCTATATCTTTTATTTGATTCTTGTGTTTTTCTGCAAACCAATTAACCAGTTATTTTTGTGATTTTCAATCCCTTGTTTTACATTTATATTTCAAAATCCTATGTATTTTATATTACTTCTTTTTTTTTCAATTCCTACAATTAAAAGAGACCCTTAAACTGCATGCAACTGAGAACTGGAGATTTTGTCCAGATATCTTTATCGGAAAATGGGAGGAAGAACAAAAAACAATTATGAAAGTTTATTTTTTCCTACACTTTGATCAGATTTTGTAGGGAATGAAAACCGTACGTTGAACCTCGGTTTTTGGCTCAAGAACAGTTTGGTGAACCTTATGCACTGATCAGTTTGGTGAACACCTCTTGCCACCATTGTTGTGATGTACTGCATCCGTTTCAGGTTATAAGACTTTATAGCATTGCCTACATTCATATAGATGTTATATTAATGAATCTTGACACACATTTATATGTTTAAATTCATTAACATATATATAAATGTGGGCAATGCTAGAAAATCTTATGACCTGAAACGGAGAAAGTACTTGATAGTGCAGTGGCAAGAGGTGTGTGATTTCAACGTCGAGGTCCCGTGTTCAATCCTAACAAGTTTATAATTTCTTCTTTAAAAATATTTGTAGGGACGACGTCTCTCTCTTTAAATCTCGTGTCTTTTTTTCCATGGCAATTTTTGGAGTGAAATGCTAAACACTTTGGAGCATATACCTTGAGATGGCCAATCCATATATATATATATAGAGAGAGAGAGAGTAAAGTAGTTAATGTTAATACCTAAGTAATTGAAAAAGTTTCATACTCATTTGAATTAGGTATATACTCAATTTCAACAATGGTGCCCGGGCACCATGGAGCACCAAACAAAAATATATATATATATATATATATATATATATATATATATATATATATATATATATATATATATATATATATATAGAGAGAGAGAGAGAGGGGGGGATATTGATAATCCAATTTTCTAATATTAATTTGACTTGGTCCAAAAAATATATGATGTCATGCAAAATCTAATCTCACATTTATTTTTTTTCCTCGGGGGAGGGAATGTGTGTTAGAGTGTGTGATGCAAGTTGACCTACAAATCCCTCTGTCCTGATCCTGCAGTGATGCAAGCAGACTAGCAGGGCTCAAAACAAGGTGAACACACACACGGAAGCAACTAATTAACCTGAAACGAGTTAAGTTAATTCATACAAAACATTGACATCGAAGGACAATACTAATAAGGCCTAACTCACTTCAAGAAAAAGACAGCTGAGCCATCAGAACCCAAGAAAGTCACACCAACATCGATCCCTGGATACTTATGTACGTACGTATGTATATACAGACGTACAAAAATGTCGTACATATACATAATCCTAGATACGCGCTGCGCGCTGGTGACTTACACTTCAGAGAGTCCACCCTCAACATGTATAAAAATTCACACCTATACATTCTTCACAACAACAATAATCTATTTATATATGTAGCACAGCCGCATGTCCTTACCGGAATATCACTATTACAATATCGATTTTTCTGGACAAAACACTCTTTAGGTTGTAGGCAAACTATAACTGATTCCGTCTAAAAAATTGATCTCCCCTGCACAGATTCTTAACAGGCCCGCATACGAAAAAAAAACATTATTTTTCCACGCAGTCCTCTTAAGCGGCCTGCATAAGAAAATACCCCATTTTCTTCCCATTCTTTTTTTTCTCCCCTCCTCTCTATCTCCCCTTTCCCGTCCATCTCACAGCTCCACTCCTTCACTCTCCCTACTCCTCACAACCATACCTCTCCTCCATCCCGACGGTGGTGGCGGGCGAGGATGGCAAACGCGGGCTCTGGTGGCAGCGGCGGCGAGGGCAACGGCTGTGGCCCCCTCGCAGATCCGATGGTGGGCTCGAGTGGGAGGCCCACGGAGGAGCAGTGCGTTGATGGCTGTGGCCCTCCCCGCGCCAATCCAGCGGCAACAACACTCCCCCGCCCTCTCCTGCACAGATCTAGCAGCGGGCAGCGACGTCGGCGGTAGGATGGACTATGGCGAGTACCACGACGTTGGTGGTGGCTGCGACGAAGACATCAGCTTGTGACCTAGGGTTTGTGCTAGCGGTGGGCTAGGGTTTGGGGATGAACAAAGGAGTTAGGGTTTCGAATTTGATTTTTTTTTTGAAATTTTGTTTTTTTCAACGAAATTATTTTCGCCTGCAGTTGGCATAGGTGACCGCATGTGCCGCCTACGAAAATCAGTTTTGGTTGTATGCAAAAAATAGTTTTTTTTCTAGTGTATACTCGTGCATGTAGCATGTATACTTTTTTTTTTAAAGATAGTAGAGTTTTTATTTAACTCTCTATATAAGTAAGATGTACATAGCAAAAACACACAACCACACACTAGTTTTTATAATCTAAGAAAGTAAAAGAAATGCTAAGAGCGCCTGAAATAGAGGCGTGTATAAAATACGCAAACACAAAACGTATATTACATGAATGACTACAGTACAAATATATATACAGATACGTGCAAGTTTAATTACAGAGAGGGGACATATTAAGTAGCTAGTGATCTGAAGAAGTAGACATGGATGATGCATATGCATCTAATGATCAAATTATGGCCTTCATATATATCTCGATTGATCGATCTAGCTAGCTAGCTAGCTAGCTGCATCATCCTTCAGATTTTTTTTGGAGAATACGCAAAAGACTTATGTATCTTTTGTATTAAGAGAAGTAACCAGATCATACTTTAGATTTTAGAACATGCCATTGCTCGTTGGATCAAAGGTCCAGCGAGAAGCTCTCGTAGTCGAGAAGCTCTGGCAGATCAAAAGCCGAAGAACAGTTCATCATCAGCAACTCCTCCTCGTCGTGGCCATGGAGGATCATGTCGTCTCCTATGTTGAAATGGTCGCTTGGCGCCATGGACTCATTAGCACCGGAGAAGAAGCTGCAGCTCGCATGGCCTGCGCCGTCCACAGAGTTCGCCGGCGCCGGCGACGAACGGAGATGAGCGTCGTCGGAGGGAAGATGATGTTCTGTAGTTCCCCTATCGTTGTTACCATCTGGTGTCTTCCTGACGAACACCCTGCAAATCACCCACTCACTCTAACAAAAACAACAGAATTCAGCAGAAAATTCGATCCAATTTAGTGAAAACGTTTACAAATTCAGTCGCACAAGACATTCGAACTGTTGCATTTCACTCACGCGGGCGACAACTGTCGTCGGCGTCGGGGAAGAAGAGGCGGTGGCGGCGGCGCCGCCGTGCAGGAGGCGGTACTCGTGCATGACCCAGCTCGTCTTCTCGCCCCTCGGCGCCCTCCCCCTGTAGAACACGAGCGTCTTCTTCACCCCCACGGGGCGGCCGCCGCCGCCGCCGCCGCCGTGCAGCACCGCCTTGTCCTTCCCCGTCGACTTCCAGTACCCGGTCGCCGTGGCCCTGTTCGTCCTCGTTCCCGACGGCCACCTGAAGCTCCTCGTGCAGAAGAAGTAGCCGCACCGCTCCTCCTCCTCCTCCTCCTCCTCCGCCGCCGCATCACCTGCACACATCGACGACGACGACGACGACACATCGATCAAAGCCAACGCACGCACGCAGCAATGTCTCGTCGCAATCGATCGACTAACAACGCGGCGGCGGCAGGAGGTCCCAGGGCTCGGCGCGGTACAGGTCGGCGTCGCGGATGGCGGCGGAGGTGAAGCCGGCGTCGGCCGCCTTCCGGGCGAGGTAGTGGGCGACGAGCTCCCCGTCGGTCGGCCGGAACCGGAAGCCCGGCGGCAGGAGTCGCGAGATCATCGCCGTCGACGACGACGACGGCGCGCGGTCGCCGCCTCCGCCTCCTGCCATCGTGACACCGCCGCGCGCGCTCATGCATGCAGAATGCGCGCGAGCAATTACCACTCTACCAGGGCAATTAACGTGTGCACTAGTACACTATTTATAAGGGATTAATGGATGGATTACCGCGAAAGCTTTGTCTGCTTTTGTGCGCTTTGCATGCGTCGGCGGCGGCTGTGAGCCCTGATTCGGCTAGTCAACAACCGCCTGTCCCGGCTGGTCAAGAAAAAAAAATACTCTGCAGTCTACACCCTGCTTAATTGGCTGCTTCGCCATTGTCTATAAATCAAACAAAACAATATATATCTTTTTAAACTTGAATATATGGTCTTGTGTGCATGGTTAGTGGATTTATTAGTCCGAACTGCTAGAAAACATGTGACAGTTTTTTCTTCCCTAGTTTTTAAATTTTCAATCGTACGATGATATGTCAAATTTCGCGCTACACTAACGTAGCGCATAAGTTATAATTATATTATAGTTACAATAAGTTGCAATGATTATAACTCATTGGTACTGTAACTACATCATAATATCTATACAATTTAGATAAAAAAATTTATATACATTTTTAAAGTAGTTGCATGCAAGTTATACATTTTTAAAGTACTTATATTATAATTATACTATAATTATATTAAAAAAATCACTTCGATAATTACTGCACTACCCACTGGGTGGCTAGTTCCAGACACAGGTTCAGGGGGAATGGGTGGCTAGTTCCAGACACAGTTCAGGGGGAAGAGAAAATCACAAAAAAAAAATAATAAATAGTTCCAGACACAGATTCAGGGGAATGTGTGGCTAGTTCCAGACACAGGTTCAAGGGGAAGAGAAAATCACAAAAAAAAAACTAATAAAACAAAAAATAATAAAAAAAACTAATAAAACAGAAAATCACAAAAAAAAACTAATAAAACAAAAAATAAAAAAATAATAAAAAAACTAATAAAACAAAAAAAATGGCCCATGCAGGTCACGAACCTGCGACCTTCGCGTTATTAGCACGACGCTCTAACCAGCTGAGCTAATAGGCCTTGACGTCTGAGTACATCAAGAAACTTTTATAGATTCGTGTACACTTGCAATGAGATCTCCTCGCAAGGCTGCAGGCTGCAGCTTTGCATGTTAATTATGATCACACCCTGAACACGGTAAGCTGCATGAGAAGAAACCAATGTATATGTAGTGATTCGTGGTAATGCATTAGTAGTATCATGCATGCATCGATCACAGAACAAATTCGATCTTCTGATTATATGGATAGCGTGTAATGAAAATCAATCCACGCGCACCTTTTCGCTCCAGATGCATATATACGTACATAGGAGAAGATCGAGAGCTTGGAAAACCTGACATCTTTGATCTAGCATGAGAGGAGGAGGCAAACATGTAGCCTGAAATGACTTGCCGGCGCCAACTTATATATGCACGCACCATCAACAGCGTGAAACGCCGGCAATTCATCCTTGGCTACACGATAAATTCGATCATCCTGATGATCATCATTGGCCTCCTCCCCACATGCAAGAACTCAAAGACGTCGCTGGGCTCAAAAGAAAAAACCATGTTCTTCAGGCATTGGTACTCATCCATCATGGAGCTAGCTAGAAGAAGCTATAGCAGCAGATGAATCAGAGAGGAGAAAAATAGCAGCTAGCTGACGAGAAGCATTCGCTGTGCCTTTTATACACACAGGGAATGATTGCAATAATGCAGCTAGCACAGAGTCTAAGGGGTGTTTAGATCCGGGTGTAAAATTTTAACGTGTCACATAGGGTGTTCGGACACTAATAAAAAACTAATTATAAAATCCATCGGTAAACTGTGAGACGAATTTATTAAGCCTAATTAATCCGTCATTAGCAAATATTTACTGTAGCACCATATTATCATATCATGGAGCAATTAGGGTTAAAAGATTCGTCTCACAAATTAGTCGCAATCTTTGTAATTAGTTTTTTTAGCATATATTTAATATTTCATGCAGGTATGCAAATGTTCGATGTTACAGGGTGTAAAATTTTTTTTTTTTGCAGGAATCTAAACATGCCCTAATTTCCTGGATTTTGGAGTGACCGGTAGAACGAAATCTGGTGATACATGTGACGTTGTTGGATTGGACATACGACGACGTGGGAGAGCAGTAGCAATTAAATGGCTCTACTATGGAGGCCAGGTACCCCCAGCGGCCATAGCCGAGTGTGTAGAGATAGATAGGAGCGTGCAACTCCATCACCCTACCCTACTCGCTGCTCTTTTCGATCGGCCATGCAACCAAATAGTAACATTTGTCCTCGCTCACATTCCCGTCGGAAATTTAGAATTTAGAACGAACCACAATACAAATCATACAACAATTTAGCAAGTTTTGCTCAAAATAAAGCTAGCCTACAGCTGATCGTTTGGCCTACACAGCTGATATAAGCCGTAAAACGGCATATAAACAACTTTAAAATAATTTATGCGTAAAATTGTTATATCTATGTTTGTTCGCTATTTAAAAGTTAATGCTAAAAAACCATTAAAAACACTAAAATTAAAAAAAATAAAATTTTGGTAACAGCATATAAGCTGAATGGTATGTAGACAATGGGGACATGCACGATGAATCAGAAAAATTCAGAGTTACTACATGCATACTCCCTCTGTACTCGTAAATAAAGGAAGTCATTTAAGACAATGTTTAAGTCAAACCTTGGTAATATAAATCACAAATAACTCTCAAGTTGTTGAGTTTAAAAATATAAAAATTATATGAATAGATTTGTCTTGAAAATACTTTCATAAAAATATACATATATCACTTTTCAATAAATATTTTTATAGAAACAAGAAGTCAAAGTTATATTTTAGAGACCGTATCACCGTCCAAAACGAATTCCTTTACGAGTACGGAGGGATTATAAGACAGTAAGAGAGAATAGGAAGTTAGTAATGGAGTTTGTTAAAATTCAGTTCTTGTCTTTCCCAAGCTGACGGGGGTAGTGAATTCTGCAAGCATTACGTATACATGATCAGTATAAACTCAAGTCAACTCACAACAGTGGGGGAAGCTGTTGCATGGGGGCTGCCTCATCACTTCATATCTAACTCATGTCATGCGTGAATGCAGAGAAATATGGCCAGTGCTCATCAGTAATGCAAGTTCCTGCTGTTCCCTAGTAAGCCAGTCATGCGTCCTAGTACTGTACTGCAGATGCTCGAGCAAAAAAAAGCCGGGGAAGCAGGGCATGTTGCCCATTGTCTAGTCAAAAACCAGGCGCAGGGTTCTTTATTCACAATAAATTTGTCTGGAGCAGTGTTTTCATCCTACTCCTGTTTAAAATTAGTACCCAATCGTGTTATTACTCCATCCCTCCCCCCCCCAAAAAAAAAAAGATAAACCCTGAGAATGTTCATGTCCAATATTTGACCGTCTGTCTTATTTAAAAAAATTATGAAAAAATTAAAAAGACAAGTCACGTTTAAAGTATTAATCATGTTTTATCATCTAACAACAATGAAAATACTAATTATAAAAAAATTTCATATAAAACGGACAGTCAAACATTGGACACAGAAACCCAGGGTTTGTCTTTTTTTTTTGTACTGAGGGAGTATGTATCTTTTATCTTATTAATTTTTCGCAAAATAGAGAGTTGATGTTTGATTTAAAGAGCTGAACAAATTAGACAAAATTTGCTACCGAGATTCAAAGGTTCACAGTCTTTGCTATAGAACACGGAAAAACACGTATTTGCTACATTACACTAAAAAACATGATAATTAGCTGCTGGCTAGACATTGAATGTATTATTTTATTATGTGCAAATAGAGAGAAACAATGCAAAAAGTATGAATTTGCCCCTATATCCATCAGCTTGTAAGGAGATTCTTCAGTTTTGATTTTTGAAGGAGGAAAAAGGTCTATTTTGCCTCCCTTAGCTCGCAGTCGGCGCTGGGAGCGGCGGCCGGGAGCTACTCCACAGATTACCGCCGCTACCCGATGAGGCGTCGCTGCCTTGCTCCTCGCTCGACGTTTGGTAAAAGCTTTCCGAAGAGCAACCCCTCGCTTCGCTTCGCAGCTCGATTCGATCGCCTGTGCAGGAGGTGGCGGCGGCGGCGGGGACGAGCATTCTCATCAAGAGAACTCGCGGCGGCGATGATCAACCGAGTGGCGCTCCGCGTCGGGAGCCTGGCAATGGCGGTAGGCTCCGTGTGCTTGGGTGCAGGTTCCTGACCATGGTGCTCGTCGTCAACATCGTGCAGCTCAAGCTTGTCCGCCTCGGCTGCTCGCGGGGCGCCGGTGGTGGGTCGCCGTCGTGCCGGTCGTCGATCACGCTGGTACCCACCGCCATGCTGATCTACATCGGCATCTGTACTTTTCTACACCTCCACCCACTACATCAACAAGCACAGCATTGCTGCCGACACGGCGACATGTAGAAACAACTATGAAATTAAGGGCCTCTTTGAATCACAGAGTTGAAAAAATGGAGAAATAGGAAAACACAGGATTCTAATAGGAATGGAAGTGTAAAACAGAGGATTGCAAAACACAAGAAAAACACAGGAATGGTCGTTTGATTGGAGCGCAGAAAAAACGCAGGAATCGGATGAGAGAGATAGACTCAAAGGGAATTTTCCAAGAGGTTAGAGCTCTTGCTATATTTCCGTCAAAATAACATACAATGTGCCATTCCATAGGAATTTCATAGGATTTGGAAAACTTCAATCCTTTGAATCAAAGGGCCAAGTAGGAAAATTTACTATAGGATTTGAATCCTACGAAATTCCTAGATAAATCCTTTGATTCAAATGGGCAAATCCTACGAAATTCCTAGATAAATCATTTAATTCAAATGGGCCCTAAGTGTATGCTTGTGGCGGATTCAGAGGCCGTCCGGTTCTCGCGGACCTCAACGTAGTTGGACGGGTTGAGCGAGACGGGGCGGATGGAGAGGTGGGGAAGGAGAAAAGGAATTGACACGTGGGACCACCATATATGTTGGTTATCATATATCACTGGCAAGTGGACCATATGCAGAAACCGCTTCCTAAACCATATATAGGAGTCAATTTGTACCGATTCTCAAAGCTGAAGGATACGTTATACACCTGATTTTGTTGTTGAGAGACGCAATACAATCAGGAGGAAGAAGAAAGGATGCAAAATAGACGTGTTCCTTTGAAGAAAAGCCCACACCTCATCAATTCGAAGCCCATAAAAGATCTGGGCTTTCGGTCCAATCAACACATCAGAAAAGCGCAGCGGTCTCCGTCTCCACATCTCGCTGAGCTGATTTTATTTCCGGGCGAAAAAGAAAAATATTTGGTTGTTTCGTGGCTGGGTGAAATGCCTAGGTTGAATTTCATTTGGTTCTGCTAGTTTATATAAATCTTGAAGCGTTTCTGCTGCAGATGGAATCTTTCAATACATACAGAGTTTGGTAATAGGGATGACAATTTTATCCATGGGTCCGGATATCCGTGGTACCCGATCCGATGGGTATGGGTGTGACTTTTTACCCATGGGCACGCCCACCCGAGACCCAATCCGATAGGTATGGTGTGACTTTTTACCCATGAGCACGCCCACCCAAGACCCGAAGACGATATGGGCAACAAACAAGCTTCATTTTTTATCCGTAGGTAACCCAGATACATATGTATTAGCTAATTTTGACTCATTTTTTATTTCTTATACCCTTTCTGATGGTTCACCTTCTTGGGCACGCCCACCCGAGACCCAAAGACGACATGGGCAACAAACAGGTTTCATTTTTTACCCGTAGGTAGCCCATACCCGATCGATACATATGTATTTATATTAGCTAATTTTGACTTATTTTTTATTTCTTATACCCTTTCTATTGGTTCATTTGTGATGCTAACTGATACTAAGTTATGACATAATTTAAATTATTGTTGATAACCAATAATTTGATAAATATTGATCTTATTTTTCTTTGTTAAATTATATATCTTTCAAGTTATTATTTATATGTGATCCATAGTATACCCGCCGGACATATCCGTGCCCACCAGGCATGGATACGGAACGGAGTTTTACCCACTAACTCTAGTGGATAGGGTTTAAGTGGGCAATATTGGGAATCGGGTCAGATATGGTTTTGCTCTAACCGTGCCCAACCAGTCCTATTGCCATCCCTAATTAATCAGGTTGCAGCTTACAAATTTCTAGTGTTTTCCTTCCGTGAAGAATTCAAAAAAAAATGTATTAGCTTCATGAGCTTTCTGAGCAATCCCCTGAGGAAGATAGCCTGAAAATATTTGGAGTGTACTGTTCAGAATAAATTGTACCAAAAAACTCATATTTAACAATGCATTCGAGATGAAAATGGCCTCAGATTGTAAGTATTTTTCACAGCGAGCTGCTCAAAGTATATTTAACACCATCATAGGCAATTTGCACCAAACGAACTGCAGATACAAAAAAACTACAAACAAAAAACAAACAAACGAAATAAAAAAACCTGGCAAATCAAAAGCACAACAGTAGATGCTTCTGAAAAAAAAAAGAAAGGCTGAGCTGAGCTGCCTCAGTGGTAGTGACAATATTTGTGTGAGATCGTCACGGAAGAATCCGATAATACGTGCATTTGTTTATGCATCACTGGCAGCAACACGAACCGCAAATTCACGTATTAATTAAGCTAAGTACCACAGAACACCAATCAAAACCAAAAGGAGAAGAGAAATAACGAAAAAAAAAACAAAGCAGATCTGAGTTGGGGGGAAGGTAAAAAAGCATCAGAGAGATTCCCATTATAGACTTAGTCGATCATTCCCATCTCTCTCAAAAGAGAAGAGGGTGCTGATGTCCCTGTCTTGCTTTCATCACCTGCTTCAACCCATCGAAAATCCCCCAAAACCAAGATCCCAAATCCCAAGAGAGAAAGAAACAGGAAGTTGCTCGAAAGAGAAACGAGAGGCGCGAACAAGCAGCTGAGCGGGAAGAGAGGACGCCGGCGACGGCGAGAATCAGAGAACCCTAGAGACGAATCGGAGGAGGGGATCAGCTTCCCGGCGGGCGGCGGCGGCGGCGATGGGATGAAGCCATTGGGAGGAGATGTATATATAGCGCTCGTGGTCGTGGGGTGGGGGGCCATGTGCTAGGGTTTTCTGGAGGCGGGCTTTGCTGCTCCGATTTTTGTATTGGGCCGAAAGCCTGTGGGAACCTGGAATTTGGCAGTTGGCAGCATGAAGGCATCCGGAGTATCCGACGTGGTGGCAGTCACTACGAGCGGCGAGAAGGGCCGACGATCCAGTGCGGTGGCTGCTCTCTCCGGCCGTCGCGCTTCGCGGCCGAACCCCCTTCCTCGGCAAAAAGAAACGACGGCAAGAGAAGGAATAAAAATAATACTCCCTACTTCTCTAAATATTTAACGTCGTCGACTTTTTAAAACATATTTAATCGTTCGTCTTATTTAAAATGTGTAAAACTATATGTATACATAAAAGTATATTTAACAATAAATCAAATTATAGGAAAATAATTAATAATTACTTAATTTTTTTTAAATAAGACGAACGGTCAAACATTTTTAAAAAAGTCAACGGCGTTAAATATTTTGGGATGGAGGAAGTAAGTTACAAACAAAGATGGGGTTTAGAAGGGGAGTGGATTCTAATCCCTCGAGGGGATATCCCCTCGTATACCTTTTTCTTTCAAATTCGATGTAAATAGTTGTGAAAAAATCTGAAAAAATTGACAATGTAGAGTATAATGATACCTACTAGTCGACCAAAATTCATCTTCAAATTCGATCTACACATCGAGAAACAAAAAAGACAAATTTAGATATAAACAGTACGCTACTATTCATACGCTGAATTTGTCTTTTTTATTTCTCGACGTGTGAGTTGAGTTTGGACTTAAGATTTTGTGAAGTTATATATATGTGTTGTATGAATGTTGTCAAATTTTTCCAGAATTTTTCATAACCATTTAGATGGTTTTTGAGCAAACAAGGAAACATCCCCTCGAGGGATTAGAATAGTTTCCCGTTTAGAAGAGATTGCAACTCAGTAGCTGAGGTCCTGCAGAACAGGCTATAATCTATAGTGGTGGTATCGAGTCCGCAACAAATACAAGCTGATATATAGGGATTATAAGAACTACGCACATGAATGCGTTTGCTTTGGATATGATATTATGGGCATGTTCAGATTGTAGCTAAAATAAGCCATGCCAAAATTTTAGTAAGATGACAATATTACCAAAATTTGTCTTTGACAAAATTTTGGCAGGATTTCTTATGTTTTTATCAAATTTGGCAACGAACTAAACGTAGACATTTTTTTTGGTAACTTTGTCAAAAAATGGTATGGTTAAAAATGACATCAATATAAACAGCCCCTATATACTTAATCAACTAACTATGCTATAAAGTTATAATTTTTTTCTTTCCTTTCATTTTTTTTACAATATCCGTTGTAACACCTGCTTTTAGCTAGTAAAATAAAAGCATTTAGGGGGATTTAAAGGCTAAAGCTCGTTGGTCAATATCTATATCTATCTTCTACAATGAAATTTGCTTCTGCCTCTTTCCGTTGTGCTTGTGTCCAGGAAGATTCTTCTATTTTGTTCAAACCAAATGATCCACCATGACGTGAGGAGAGCTCCAAGATTTCAATGACTGACATTCTATTTTACAACTTATAATTGTTTTATATATGCATTATGACTCGCTCGGATCAATCCGTAGTTTTGTTGTGTTGTTTTCTTTTTTAGCTGAAATGTCTGAGCCCGGGATTGAAATTTTGTTTCGAAATTTCGGACCCCCCTCCTCCCGCAAGTCAATATCTTGGTCGAAATTTTCGGTTTTTTTTCTTGAATTTAGTCAAATTCAGTTAAATTGTGTCAAAATTTTAGAAAATTTTGGTTCTGCCGAAATGACCGAAATTTTAGCCGAAATCGAAATTGAAACCTGTCTAACCCTGGGCCAAAAGCACTGCGAGGAGCTACAGCTTCGATTTCGATTGATAATAAATAAACTATGCCTCGAAACTGTTACTGCAAAGCAAGAAACTAATGCAGCGAGGGTGACTAAACACATAAACCACCTAAATGGCTTCCACCTAAATGGCTTCTATAGTAGAATCATATCAGAAACATCTAAAAATTCTATGCTTCGATGATAATCTAGTCCTGGAAGGCCCACGCGTTCTCCTTGCGGATCTCCGCCTCCTCCTCGGGCGTGAAGTCGTTGGCGATGTTGAACTCGGCCCTGATCTCCTCCACCGTCTTCCCCCTGATCAGGTCGGCCGCGCGCTGGCACGCGAGGGCCAGCAGGCACGGCACGTTGAGGTAGTTCGCGGCCAGGATCAGGTCGAACAGCGTCGCGTTGTCCACTTCGATGAACGCCGCGTCGAAGCTCTTCAGCTCCTCCACCTCCTCGCCGGCGGCGGCGGCGGCGGCGGCGTGCTCGCTGCAGTACTCGAGCACCTTGGCGAGGACGGCGGAGGGGACGTTGGGGAGGGGGACGCCGTTGTCGGTGCACTCGTCCTCGACCATGTTGCGCACCAGCCTCGACATGCTCGCCACCGCCTGCGCCACCTCGAATCTCTGGCCGTCGGAGCTGATCAGCAGGATCATGTCGCCGGCGGCGGCGGCGGCGCCGGCGACCTCCTTTGCTGCTGCTTCCGCCATTGGAGATTTTGGTTTAGTTTTCTCGTAGAACACGCGTGTGAACTGTTGTTGATCACGGACGAACTCGTTGAAGCGTCTGTGGTGCTCGACGATCTGTTTGGAAGTCTGTATTTATTGCGGAGTCCAAATTAAATCAAATCCGATTCGAATTAATTTTAGAATTTTTGTTATTTCTGGGAAGATTGATAAGTTCTCTTTCCGTTTATTACTAGGGTTAGGGTTTAGGCTTGGGTTCCGTATAAGGGCATGTACAAAGGTAGAGTCTAATATGAGCTCTCTGTATTAATTAATATCACTAGAGACCGTCCTCCTACAATAGTAGAGACAATAAGATTTATAAATCATTAATGCACTAAATATTTTTTTTATTATACTTCTTTCCTTTACTATACCCTCATGCAACAAACTTTCCGTTAATAAATGCATAGCAACGATGTTTCTCATTTCTTCCCTCTCTTTCCTCCACGTAACCAAATTTACTTGCATGATAACGAAAAGAGCCCGCTATTAAACACCATTGTACATGCCCTAATCTCTTTCCGTTTCCGTACATTTTACTAGGGTTACTGGGTTCCTGGTTCGAGAACCTGATGTAAAACAACCCCACCTATTTCCAAAATACTGGCTGAGAATGGATGCAATCCAATCCAAACAACCTGATGTCACAGATTCTGCTTCAATTGGAAGCTAGAGATGAACCCCAGAAACACGAGGTTCCACCACACATTAGCATCATCGCTTAATTATCCTCAGCATGGCAAATGGCACTTTCACAGTTTCACACAGTATTGGAAACGTTTTTTATGCTACGATGACAAATACAAAAGGTAGAATTGTATATACCCAAAATGGGATTAAACAGATGCTCAAGTAGAGCAGTGGAAACTGATAGAGATCTCAGTTTGTGAAAACCGATCGCTATTAGCTAGCCGGTTTTCGTATGGCATTGACCAAATAACCATCGGTTTTACCAGTTTTCGGTAAACGGGTGAGGTGTGATTTTTACCTCGAACTTGAAATCGAAAAGTTCAACCCTGGTGGAAACTCAACATGTGTGCTTACAAGTTCACGGCCGAAAGATCCATGTTTACTTACATATGCACAGAATGTAGTACGGAAAGGACAAAAAGATACAATATGCCAAGTCTACATCACTCACGAAACTACAACCTTTACACTGAATGTGGAACGAGACTGAATTTTTTTTCTAGGGTAAAAATTAAGTCAGCTGAATGCTTGGGTCAACCAAAACTTCTTCCCAACCCTATATCCAAAGAACCTTGTCGTCCTAAGAAACTGACAACAATTAGAACCTCATTGTAACATTCACTGGTCGCCGAGCAAAAATCCTTCAGCTTCACACACTAAAGAATCTAGTCTTTTGTTGCAAAATTTAGCAGTCTACCCTTGACACATACAGTCTGGAGCAGGGTAAGTATAAATAGATTGCTTTGGTTTCCTCAGTCTGATTTGCCCGTATCTACCCTTGTGCCCTGCTTGTACAGCCTCCTGAAATTCCAACCACTCCATGCTCTTGTTAACAAAGATGCGCCCAAGCAATGCCATGTTTGGCCTTATGGTCTTCATATTCTCAAAGGTACGGTGAGCCATCTAAATTTCAACAAATTATTCTAGTCAGGACCAGTAACAAAGGAAGCAATCAAGCAAATTCAAGATCGAACAGAACATACCAGTGCGTTGTGCATATTCCCAGGAGATGCAGAGATGAAAATGTCGCTGTGCATGCTGATATAGTAGTCAAGAGCTGCTAGAACAGAAGCCTTGCCTTCAACATTAGTCAGCTCCTCTTCCGACGCAAGGCTCCTCTTGTCCTCCATTAGGGGGAAAAGTTTGCGCAGGCTAGAAATTCTGGCTTCCCCGCCGTATACCTTAATACGTTATGTATATTAGACCTTCCTAATACCACCAGAAAAAAAAATGGTAAACACACAGAAGAGTCAAACCTTGTGAGAGGCTAGATAGATTCGAGTTCTGCTGTCAAATCCAAGAGCTGCCAGTAACAGCCCAATTTCTTCTGGAGTCAATGGGCAGCGTCCCAAGTTCCGAAGCTCCTCATCAGTTAGCTGTGAATTTAATACCCTCCCTTGCCAGATGACTTGTCTGTACTTAGCCAGAGCTAATCTCTCAGCTCTGCCACCACCGAAGTCACAAGCAGAATGTGCAGCCATATCCTGAAAAATTGATCAGAAGCAGAAATGTTTTAAAGGGCACAACAATGCACATACACTGTGGATCCACAGAAAAAATGTATTGGAGAAGTTTCCATTTACCTTATCAAAACGGAGATGCAAAACTGCATATTTTCCGGCTTGGTTTGTGTCTTCTCCAACTTCTTGGATAAGTTCACCAGATTGGCCCTGGACGGGAGATCTCAAGCGTTTCACAAGAGTCTCCCCCAGTGAGATAATGTGAGGCAGGAAAACAAGAGCTTGGAAGTTAACTTTGCAACGCAGATGCTGAATGTCCACAGGCAAGTCATCAAATGCAAGACGGTGAGAAAAGGGGGCAATGGCAGCAATGCCATAGCTGCAAGGAAACAAATGGAAGGTAAGATGACTGCTAAACGATTTGCCTTGTAAATTGACCAACTAACAAAGTTATTAAACAATGACAGGATGTCATGTTAACACATATGGAGCTAGACCAGTGGAAATTGACCTAGGCTAAATGTTATGACCATTTCTCCGTAACCTTAATTGACCACCAGCTACATATATGAAGACCATTGCAAGGCGTGACTTGAGCCAATTATTTCAGAGAAGTCTATGAAGCTGACTCAATAAACAAAGCGCATGTTTGACTAATAGAGAAACAATCCAAGTCAATTTTTTTCACAAACCTTTGAAGGATAGGACTGACATTCTCCAGATACCAACTTGCAGAGGCATGAACAGGTGCGGTTTTTATTCTTGTAGCACGGATGCCTGTACCATAGTACTCTCTTGTGCTCCAGGAAAATTTTTTTGGGAGAACTTTGACTATTGAAACTTCAGCTTTTAAGGTGTTGATAAAATGATCCACATCAAAAATTTCTTCAAAGGAGCTACAATACAAAAAGGTAAACTATACTTAAAATTCAACAGTGGAAAATGGAAATTAAAAATATAGTGCTCCGAGACTCCAAAAGCACCTTGTGTCTTTCCAAACAGGATTTACTTCAAGATGTGGGATCACAAGAGACGCATTCAGAATTTTAGCAACAGCAACCGCATCACATATCTAAAGAACAGAAAGGAAAGAGTTGGATAATCTAAAGTCCCAAGGATGCCAGTTATGTTAAGTTATATATCATAGCATCAATGCATAAGAAGTGTGTTACCCCCATTCTTTGCTGATTCAGTCCACCATCAAGAAATACTTGGATATATCCAGTGGGTTCCAAAGGTACCCCTATAATTTATCAGAACAACTGATCAATAATCGATTTTCTATCGCTGCGGCTGTCGGAATCATGCCATTTCAGTAGGTTACCGTGAACACTTGATGACTTCAAGCATGGTTTCCAACCTTGGTACGGCAATGGTGACCACAGCTCTCTCTTTTGTTCGTTTGACTGTACAAAATACAAGTTACAGATGGGCTCCAACATAAATACTCCAGTTTTCAGCTAAGTATTATGTACTCACAATTGTTCGCCGCAAAGCCTCATTCAGAAGAGACTCATGCATTGGCTTAGGGGCATTCCACTCCTGCAAACAATTGACAAAACCCTGCCTAGTTAACCCTCAAAGCAAATATAAGATCATAAAACCTAAACTAGAAGAGCACAAGCAAAATTCTCATCAATTAGACACACCAATTCTTCCCTCATACACTACAAGGAACTAGCTATCTGCCAAAATGGAAGACGACCTTTGCTCATCCCAAGTGATTGGGTCCCTGGAGCTACCAATCATAAATCTACGAAGAGTAGCTTTGAATCTTACTTCACAGCACATCGGCTCCAATTTCGGGCCGCGCGAGGAGGAGAGAGGGGAGGAGGGGGGCTCACCGAGAAGAGGGAAGGGAAGGCGCGGCCAAGCGGGGTGAAGATCGCGGGGAAGATGGACGGAAGTAGCACGACGACGGCCGCCGCAGCGGCGAGCGCCGGGCCCCTCGCCGCCGGCGGCGAAGGCGACGGCCTCCGCATCTCCCCGTCTCAAGTCAGGTGGGGGGAGGGGAGACGACGACGACGACGAGCCCGAAGCCCACCAAGCGACAACTTAGCCGAGCCGAATAGGAAATGGGCCTTATGGAGTGATCTGGATGGGCCAAAATTCTTCGCCTGGCCCAACTATGATCCGAAAAAGAGGAGGAAGGATCCGCGGGACTTCTGTACTGTACTGCTGTGCTGTTCACTAGCCACCCTGCTAAAAACATCTACAGTTACCTGAATATGATATGCTAAATGTATATTTGTAGGTGTCGACGTTTGATGTCGCAATTCTGGTATTTGCATGGTATGAGGATCGTCGATGCTAGGGTATACGCGAGATTAAGGTAAAAGAGATGGAGACAGGGATTTTTATACAGGTTCGGACCCCTGAATTGTCAGGTAATAGCCCTACATCCTGTTGGCCGGAGCCGATGTTGCTTTTTATTCACCATAATCACACCAGTACAATATATGGGGTAGCCTATCTAACTGTTGTCGACATGGCGGTCTGAAGGTCTGACTCGTAGTCGACAACAGGGTAGCCTTCCTCCTCGAGCTCGCGCCCGACGGAATCAGAGACAGTGCTAGATCCCTACGGCCGGCCTCTGAAGGTACCGGATAGGGTCGATCCAGGCGTATCTCTGATGTCGATATCCGGCGGCTTGTCTTGGCGTATGTTGGCTTGTATGTTGTGGCTTCTGGTGGGTGTATGTTGATTGTGTTGGTTCTCTCTGGTGGGTGTCCGCTCTCTTCCCCTCCTAGGGAGTCTTGTATTTATACCCATAGGTGTTCCCTTGTCCAAGTAGAACTAAGGAAACCAATATGGATACAATCCGAGTAGTACTTGTCGTTTCCATGTAGAACCCTGGTTGTCTTTCCTTATTCGGAACTCCTCCTATATCCGAAGGTTGCTTTCGTATAGGACATGGTATGTGGTGGGTCTTGCCGAGATTTAGTCAACTACTATTAGATATGTGGTATCCATAACCCTGACAGTAGGTTAAATCATACTACAAATATACATTTAACCTGAATATACATTTACAGCATATCATATAAATTTAACCTTCAGTAAAAATATACATTTTTTAAACATATACAAATATATATGAGTATATCATATACAAATATACCTGAATATACATTTGCAGCATATCAGATACATTTAACCTACAGTAAAAATATACATTTTTTAAACATATCATATTCTCTGTATTTATTGTAGAGGATATGATATGCGTCCATTATAAGACCTAAGAGGCGTGGACTTGCCAGGGATGTTAACTGAGCAATTATAAACCCATGATTCCAAAGCTTTGAAACATGAAAACATAGGAATATATTACCACGTACTTCATCCGTTTCACAATGTAAATCATTCTAGCATTTCCCATATTCATATTGATGTTAATGAATCTAGATATGAGAAATGCTAGAATGACTTACATTGTGAAACGGAGGAAGTGCTATGTAATATCATAAGATTTCAGAACAGAATAACACTCGAGATAATGTGTTTAGATGGCTCAGAGGAATTGAAACAGAAAGAATTTGGGAGGAAAACACATGCAAAAGAGCAGTATAGCATCGGACTTAGTAAAGAAAAATATCCTTGAGAATTTTACAATCCTATTCCTTTATAAAGATGCATTTTTTTTAGAAAGTGTGCCTTTTGTTATGGCATCACAATTTCCAAAAAAGAAGTCGTCTTTTGTAAATTACCTCTACACCTATAATGTAAGTACACTGCAAGTTTATAATTACATTGTAAGAAACATTTACAATGCAAATTTTCTAACACACAATGTATAAGAAAATTAGGATTAAACGTGTTTATTATTTTAGGTCGTGTGCATCTCCAGTCGATGCAGAGACCGGGTGTAATTTCAGTTCTAATACAATTATTCCCATTATTAAAAAAAAGGAGTATTTATTATTTACATGAAAGATGAGATATGAGAATTAAAAGCTTATACCTACAAATAGGAGAACAATGGACTAAAATTAAGTGAAAAATGTAGCGACCTTTTTTTTAGCAATCCTGTTTTTCTTCTCTACAGATTCCAAATTTTTAATCCTCTAAAAATTCTACTATAAGTTTCCTTCAATCTAAAGGAGCCCTGGAAGGTTTTGATGGGCCTGAATATCAATTGTAAACTAAAATCAATGAGAGTTCAATGATCGGAGACATGTTTACCATTTATATAAAGGCTTAATTAAATCAAATTGAATCAGTGAAATTTAAACCTCGTTCATATTCTCTTACTAAGTCCTTTCCACATGTACGGAGCCATCGTTGGCATATTTGCAAATAAAAAGTAATTGGTAAATAGACTTTTATATACGTGTTCTTAGCGATTTAAAAGCAAAAGCTAAAAATAAATTTCAATGAAAAAAATCTCAAAATCAACTTTAAAATTTAAGGTTGAAAATTTAAAATTTGTCTGATAAGCATAAGCAGATGAGGCACATGCTTTAGGTAGAGGATAGAAAAACTGTTCGGTCTGTTTTTTAAGCCAAGGGTAAGGAATTTGATTCAGGGATAGAACCCAAGCACGGAAATTGTCATTTCAATTCGATTTCCATCGATTTCAGTTCAAGTAAAACACAACCCGTTTCTTGGCTCTTTGTAATGCCATGATCCAAACAGCACCTAAACTGATCATAAGCATACACATGCTGCCGTTCTTCATTCGGCTGAGCGATCGAAGTCGATTAAAGAGAAAAATAGAACGAAAGAACAAAGAATTTGCAGAGAAGTGACGCCATGGGAATCCTGTGGATTCCCTAGGCCGCAGCCGTCTCCATGAACTTGAGGAACTCGCGGAAATCGACCCTGCCGTCCTTGTCCGCGTCGTAGGCGTCGATCATGCGCTGGCACTCGGCGTGGCCGGCGCCGGCGGCGAACCCGAGCGAGGCGAGCACGCTCCCGAGCTCGCCGGCGTCGATGAAGCCGTCGCCGTTGCGGTCGAAGACGCGGAACGCCGCCGCGGCCTCCCCCAGGGTGGCCTCCTCCTACTCGAACAGCGCGGACGCCTCCTCGAACCCCACCGACGGCGCGGCGCCGCCCGCGCCGCCCATCAGGCCAAGAACCGTGTCCAGGTCAACCGCCGCCGGCGGCGCCACCGCGGGCGCTGCAGCGGCGCGGCGCCGGGAAGACGAACTCGATGAGGAGGAGGAGGAGGATTTGACGAGGGCGGAGAGGCCGATGGCGATGACGTTGAGGGAGATGGTGAGCACGGCCTGCGCCATGGAGAAGTGGAACGAGTAGGTCGACGACGTGCTCGGCGCCGAATACGCTGCCTCCATGGCCAAATAAATCAGTTGCTTCCGTCCGCTTCTCTTCTCTCGAGAGATTGTCTCCTCTACCTTTGCTTCGTCCGCGTCTCCGAGTTGGGTTGGGTTGCCGGTTGTGTCTTGCGTGTGCCTTGCCGGGATCAACGGCGGGGACGGCATATATAGCTCTGGGCGTAAGGCGAGGCGAGGCGAAGGCGGGAAGGAAGGAGGGTTCGCGGAAGCCGGAAGGAGAGAGTCGCGTGGAAAAGGAAGGAAAGGAAAAAATAGGAAATTGAGGCGGTCTCGCGGGGAAGTGGGAAAGAAATGAACGGTCGTGGTCGTGGGGAAAGACGTGGAACGGGTTGGTTTGGGTTTGTGGGGGAGAGAGATGGTTCGCGGGAGGTTCGGGGGTTGGGCGTGGCGGGGGGGAGAGCGGACGGCGACGTCGCGGGCGGGCACGCAGCGAGGTGGGTCAGCGTGGGGACTTGGCGTGCGGTCGCGTTCGGGGTTTGGAAGGAGGCAACGTTTGTTTTTTTTTTCCTTTCTCCCTTTTGTCTTTTGTCTTTGTTGTCATTTGCGCCTTGTTCTCTACTGCTCCTCCGTTCTTTTTTTTTTTTGCATTTCTCGGTTGAATTTGATGTGTCTCACGGTGGGGAGAGGGGCGAGTGGGATCCGGTGGACGGGGGGCCAGGGGGTGGTTAGGGTGGTCGAGCGGTTGACTGAATGTCTTAAGATGTGTGATGACAATTTCGTATGGACGCTATCTACTAGTGGGGGCAGATTTTTTTTTCTACAGAGATCTACGATCGATATATAGGGTTGATCGGCTGGTCATTGCTGTGGTAAACCCTTGGTAAGTTACATTCAACAAAACACTTATAATTTTCCTTATTATTATCCTCTAGGGTGGTAATTTTTGTAATTCTTTTCATGCTCCATGAATATAAAACATTGCATCGCCTGATGCTATTCGTTAAAAAAAAACACTTATACGTTGGCAGCATCTGATGCTGGAGGTAAAAGGAAATGACACGATAAGAATGCATTTTTCTAGTCTAAGAGAATAAATAAAACGGTGAGGAAATTTTGGCTGGAATAATCAAAAGTTTTACTACCTTTATATGTTCATCAGGAAAAAAATTAGAATTTTTTTGCCTTTCTTCACGCGGAAGGACATGACGGTATTGCTATTATCTCCTCTTCACCAAGACAAGAGAAAAAGGCACACAAGATCATAGAAGAAAAAAAAAAGAACCATCTATTTTGCGGTCTGTTCCTTCTCAAAAAGTGGTGTTTTTACTTGTCATACAAGATTAATTTGCAGTGCAAGGGAAAAATAGAATTGGCTTATGCCTGCTGCATTTCTTCCATCAGTAATTGCATCCTGCATATAAAGTGGGTAATAAAAAATAAAATACTACTTCTATCAGGTTGTATACATTGTGAAAGTAGTAAGTAATAAATACTAGGTAATATGCTTACTACCTAGCCATAAGTAATAAACAAATGATTTTTCTCATCCCTCTCTCATGGCTATTGGTTGTGCGGCCCAGCTTACTACCCACTTTTGTTATTTCACCATTGTAGCTATAACAAGAACTAATACCCATTAACATAGGGCCCACCCTTATTCTCAAAGTAGGTAGTAAATATTGGTGATGCCCTAACACTGTGTACGTGACTGTGGTTAGGGTGGCAAGGTGGCACGGTGAGCCAGGGGGTGGTTAGGGTGGTCGAGCGGTTGACTGAATGTCTGAATATGTGTACGTGATGACAATTTCGTATGGATGCTATTAGTGGGGGTAGATTTTGTTCTACAGATCTACTATCAATATATAGCGTTGATTGGCTGGTCTTTTTTTCATGAACGTAAAAAAATTACACGTCAATATATTAGCAGGAAAAGAGTTTTTGTTATACAAAGAAATAAGCTAGACTGGCTTATGCCCCAGGGGGAGGGTTGATTGGCTGGTCATTGCTGTGGTAAACCCTTGGTACGCTACATTCAACAAAACACCTATAATTTTCCTGATTATTGCTCTCGGTGATAATATTTTTATTTTTTTCATACTCTATCAGTATAAATCATTGCATCGTCTGATGTTGTTAATTAAAAAAACACTTATCTGTTGGCAGCATATGATGCTGGAGGTAAAGAAAAGAACACGATAAGGATGCATTTTTCTAGTCTAGAGAATAAATGAAACAGTGAGGAAATTTTGGCTGGAATAATCAAAAGTTTTACTACTCCTACTTTTTATATGTTCAACAGGAAAAAAAATAGAAATTTTTTGCCTTTCTTCACGCGGAAGGACATGATGGTATTGCTAATATCTCTTCTTCTCCTAGACAAGAGAAAATGGCACACAAGATCAGATAGAAAAAAAAATAGAACCATCTAATTGCGGTCTGTTTCTTCTAAAAAAGTGGAGTTTTTACTTGTCGTACAAGATTAATTTGCAGTGCAAGGGAAAAATAGAATTGGCTTATGCCTGCCGCATTTCTCCATGGTGATTCCATCAGTAATTAACCACCTAACACTATGACCAGTCAGCTCTGACTGCTATGTATCATGTATGGTCCTGATGAGTCCTAACAAAACACTAACTAGCATTATTAAACATGATTTGGATCGCCCGAAAGATCAGTTGATATAGATTGGTCGCCTCCTGGGAATTTGACGCAGCCACATATTCTCAGCCGATATGCATATGGTGCCTGGGTCAGTTTAATACTTCTTTATTTTGTTGAAAAAATAAAAAAAATGCTACTAAATCCTTTAGAAAAGCACATGGTAAAGGAAAATCATAAGCCAAATAAGCTGACGCGTCATGCATATACACAACAAGGAAGCCAGTTTCGTACTTCTTTTTTCATCGTAATCTGTATTGATTTTTAAACTACAAATAATATCGATATAAAAATTTCGCACATAGATTTTTTTTTACTTCGTTATTTCCTTACGGCTTACCAACCGTAGCTCGATCAAATGATCATAGACGCTTTCAACGATAGATACATGTGCAGCATCTGATCATGCATGTACACAAAAATCACAGAAAAAGAATAAGATATGGAGTTATTCTTCCCTCAAAAAAAATTCCCTAAAAAAAGATATGGAGTTATTATAGTCTGGAGAACCATATAACTGTTCTGAGAAAATTTGGACGAAATTTGAATCTTCAAAAGTTTTGGTTGCACATATATTCAATAAATACACTATTGTTTTTTTGCCTGTGTTCGTGCTAAAGGACCTGGTGGTACGGTATTGCTTTTGTCTCTTCTTCACGAGGACAAAATAAATACAAGTGTGGAAAAAATGCACATATCTGTTTTGTCTGCTTCTTCTCACAATTGGTGTTCTAATTTTACTTGTCGTGCTTACTTTTTTTTTTCACTTTTTCCGCAAAGGAGGGTAGATTTATTAAATAAGAGGAGAAAGTATAACCCTTCTGTTAGAAAAACTAGAAACAAATTAAATCTCTTGAAAAACTAGAAAAACTAGAATAAAACAAAGATGCTTCACATCTTGAAATACCACAAGATACCATAAGCAATACGAACGGACGATTGCAGTCACAACAATAACCAATTCTGAGATAAGTAAAATGGAAGAAAAACCCCAAAATTAATTTCTAACAGAACAGCAAATTAATATCATAAAAAGTTGATGATCCCAAAATCATTGTGTCGATCTGATCATCGAACAACCTTTCAAACAAATTAACCCCAGTACGTCTTAATGGATGACCTTTTGGACGAAATAGCCACCACCAAGGAAGAAATAGAAAAGACAAAAGTCTTTGAAGAAGCCTAACTCCAAAAATATCATGGAAGACAAACCCTAAATTATCTACAAATCTAATCTATGAGGATTGTATAAAAAAAACCTAAAAACTAAATGGAGACGAACAATAGATGGAACTTAAAAAACCAAGGCAATGAAAAAAATAAAAGAATAACTCATAATTACTTTCTCCACGATATGACTCCATCAACAATTAATCGAACACCATGACCAGTCAGCTCTGACTGGTATGGTCCTAACAAAACACTAGCAGATTATTAACTACGGATTTGGATTGTCTGAAAGATCAGCTGATACTGAAATGAGTTGGTAGTTTCTCCTCCCGGCAAGCAAAATGAAGTATCTTATAAGCGCATGGTTAATTAAGTATGAACTTAAAAAACTTAAAAATAAATTAATATGATTTTTAAATATACTTTGCTATATAAATTTTTTATAAGAAACACACTGTTTATCAGTTTGAGAAACGTGCGTGTAAAAAAGAGAGAGTAATACAAGATGGGAAAAGGTACAATCGAACGCACCATGTATTATCAACTACTTCTGCATACCTGAGTCAGTTTAACAGGTTTTTTTTCAAAAAAAAATGGAAATATCGGAGAGGCTCCTACATTGAGTAAATATATATAGTATAAAAAGATTACAAATTACATATGTACATTAAAAAAAAATCAAAGGTTGTCTAGCCATTCCGACATTAGGAGTTTGAGACTATCTTTTGCCCTATGCCCTAAGGATAACCAAGGCAAATTATTTTTTGAATATATCCTTACATATATGAAAATAAGGATTTATGCCTCTGAATATCACGTTGTTTCTTGAGATCCACATACTCCATGCCATCGATCTATCATAGATCCACATACTCCATGCCATCGATCGATCAATATGATAGTTGTTTATTTTTGTTGAAAAAATAATAATAATGAACTTCTACTAAATCCATTAGAAAAACATCTACCTTTTAGAAAGGAAAACAGGAATGCTAGGGGACGGGATACCGTTGCTCTAACGGGATAGCTTCCCCTCCACCTCCATCAGCCGCAAGAGCACAAGGCACAAGGCCCGAGCCAGCGACGGGGGGAGAGCGGTGGTGGTGGCCGGAGCCGAGGGAGAGAGCAACGGCGGTGGCCGGAGCCTGGGCACCGGCAGCTGGAGCCAGAGAGCGAAGGGATAGGGCGGCGGCGGTGGCCGGAGCCAAAGAGCCGAGGGAGGGGTGGCAGCGGTGGCCGGAGCTGGGGAAGGGGGCGGCGACAGTGGCCGGAGCCGGGGGAGGGAGCAACGGCGGTGGCCGAAGCCGGGGGAGGGAACGACAACGGTGGCCGAAGCCGGGGGAGGAAGGGGCAACGGTGGTGGTAGCCGGATCCAGGGGATGGGAGGGGATGGCGGCGTTGGCTGGAGCCAGGGTAGGGGGCGGCGACGGTGGCCGGAGCTGGAGGAGAGAGCAACGACGGTGGCCGG